GTTTTGATTCTTTTCAGGAAAATGAAACAACATTGGCAGGAAAGCAAAAGAGTGATGCTCGGGAAATGCAGAGTTTTTATCGAGATTACTACAAAAAATACATTCAAGCTTTGCAGAATGCTGTTGATAAAGCAGATCGGTTTGTCTCTAGGAGTATTGACGTGTTCTATTTTTTATTGAAAAGTTGCTCAGCTGCTTTATATTTTAGTTTTTTACGTTTTGTTTTTCCAAACCCAGGGCGCAACTGACCAAAGCATACCAAACTGCTGCTGTTTTATTTGAGGTTTTGAAGGCTGTCAATCAGACGGAAGCTGTTGAAGTAGCTGAGGAGGTGAAACAGAAATTTTTGACCCGAAACTTTTTCATAATACTAATCTTCGTTTTACACCTATTTCCTTTGTAAAATATGTCTGTATTTTTTGTACTGTAGATTTTGGAAGCTCACACCAAGGTTGAAGAAAAACAGCAGATATATGTACCTTACAATATTCTTCCTCTTGACCCTGATAGTCAAAATCAGGCAATCATGAGATTTCCCGAGGTTTGAACATTTTCATTTAAAACTGAGAGTATTATGTCTATAGATTACAGGTGAAACACATTGTCTCTTGTTTTTGCTCTCCAGATTCATGCTACTGTTTCAGCACTCCGTAACACTAGGGGCCTACCATGGCCGAAGGACCACAAGAAGAAAGTAGATGAAGACATTCTAGACTGGCTCCAGGCTATGTTTGGTTTCCAGGTGAAGTGACTAACAAAAATGAATGTCATAAACTACTGAGTTTTTCATATTTTCTGAGCAGCTTAAGCTCCACTCATTAATGTGCAGAAGGATAATGTGGCAAATCAAAGGGAACACTTGATTCTGTTGGTTGCTAATGTTCACATACGACAATTACCAAAGCCTGATCAACAGCCCAAGGTTGTTATCCTTCTCAGTTCTACCTTATATTTTCCCTTTCTGAACTAGTTCTCCCCCTTCCTCCTGCTACTACCTTACTCTATTTGCCAAATCTTTTCCTGTATAGTTGGACGATCGTGCTTTAACAGACGTAATGAAGAAACTTTTCAAAAATTACAAGAAATGGTGTAAATACTTGGATCGCAAAAGTAGCCTTTGGTGAGGAATCCTTTTTGAAAGCTTTGTAATTTAATATAATATTGATATTTCTAGAAATCTGAATGAATTGAATTATTTTATTCTCCTCCTTCTGAGGTATTTATAAGATGTACAAAGTATACAAAAAAGGTAAGTATACAAAGTCAACTATATTAAATAATAAACCCTAAACCTAATATATCACGCCAACAATATTTTCTAGCAAATGTTAAAGTGGATTAGTTATAGTCTTCCGAAAAGCGGAGCTGCTGATTTGTTTAGCTGTGGTTTATAGTGGTCCATTGAAATATGGTGATTTGTTTCTGTCCTTTTGTTTCCACACTATTAACATACAAAATCTGTTTTTAACTGGCAGG